TATGGTTCATGGGGTCACGAAGAGTCGGACACGACTTAACGACTAAACAACAACAACAATTTATATAGCTTTCTTTATATCCTTTCCTTTTTTAAATGTGATTGGATCTTCTATTTTTTTCATGTTGTGAAAACTCTGTGTGTGACATTTAGACTGAACCATGGCTTACTTATTACATATTAATCTGGGAAAAGTCTAATTAGATTTATATAAGATACTGAAGAAACTCTATGACCTTTTGCAACAAGAATAATTCTCAAGGTTTTATGTAAACCTTTATGGATTTGACTTTTTTATAGCCAATTACAGAAGCTTGTCATGATACCTATTAAGAAGATTGTTCATGGTGGAAAATCTTAAATGCAGAGAAAAATGAAGGAGAAGTAATGTACAGCAGAACATGGGTTATGTTGCTATGGTTTTGAACAGATTCCCGAAGGACTCTGGGTGGCTCACAACAGCACCAGAGATAGAAATGACAAAATGATGAAATCAAAACCTATGATAGATGTCCACAGTCAAATGAACGAGGGCCCCAAAATAGATAAAAGATCAATACTTCCTACAGGATGGACTGCTAAGTTGAAAAGCATTCCAGAAGATAAGATAATAATGGCAAACTCTTTCTCTAACACTGTTGCTGTAATACTGCCAAGAAAACTGCATAGAAGCAATCACGAAGAGTCGAGTTTGACTTGAGTGTATCTTTACATTTTTTTTAAGGATGAGTATGCAAGTATTATAGTTTGGCACAAGGGATGATATTTCCTATCCCCTTCCAGGATTTTGATCTGACCTGTATCACCTATATTTATCTTAAAGTAAGAAAAAAGAACAGAAACACCAGTGTAGCACTATGCAATATATTAATGGTAATATTTTATTGGGTCCAATACTATGTTTGACTAATGCAATTTCTCAAAATGACTAAGGAAAGCTCCAAAAAAGGAAGTATCTACTCCATTATGTAGGATAGCTCAAGAATTTGTCTTTATATTATACATTATATACATTATCATTTTTATTTTAACTAGTAGAGGCTAAATGCCAATTATACCCATTGATCTAATTTTGTGATTTAGTCATGGCTAATTTAGGAAATGAAAGCACATAACCAAAAGAAAACACAAGACAGTCTCCAGAAACTGTAGGAACTATGTTAGATTTAGCTGAGGCTTGCAAGAGATATCAAACTACAAAAACTATTTTGTTGCAATCAGCAACACCATAATATAACATACAATATGTGAACTTTGTTCTTTTGCAAAAAATGTACCCTCACAAGAATGAAGGTGGAGAGTCTTTTGAGGAATCAAGAGATCCTTCAGGATACTTCCACCTAGTGGTATAAAGACTATTGTGTGTGTGAATATACTTATGCATATACAAAATGCTACTATATAATATACACTTTGTTAATATGAACACTATTTAAACCATCTTTAGAGGTAGTTCCACATATCTAAAATGAAGTAGAAGATACCCCAAAGTTTTGGAGTCATTGCTACCACTATTTGTATCTTACCACCTCATAGTTTTTAATTTCTTATTTAATCTTTCTTTTAAATTTCAGATGGTTTTCATAGTTTATTACATGACTATAGTAGGACATGCATTGTCTATAGCTTCTCTATTGGTTTCCTTGGGGATTTTCTTCTATTTCAAGTGAGTACATCCTTCAACCGTCTATTTTCTCTTACTGCATTATGTATGTAGAGTTATGGGTAGTGCTTCTTTGACCCATGCAGTTCAGTCATTCGCTTACCGGCCACATTGGCTTACAAGTGACTTTATCCAAGTGCTGTTTGTGCCAATTCTCTATAAAAGCAGTACCATGCCTTCTTGGGTTCTGTACAGTTCTTCAAGATATAACGCACATTCTAATTAGTTCTCTGTAACTAAAGATTATGTATACCAAAATAGATAAAATGAATGATTTGACACTATCAGATGTGTCCAACATTAAGTAAGTGCCTCACATAATATTTTGGGAAAAGTTGATGATTGCAAACTAAATGGCAACATATCATGCATAAGGGAAGGGCTGGAGTTTGGAGTTGACTTAAGATTTTTCTCTATTTTTGAAATATAGCCTGCCTTTTTAGGGTTGTCTTTACAGTTTTCACTTGTTTTTCACCTGCCAGTGGTGGGACACTGTTTTAAGTTTTCAGTAATCATAGTTATAGGAAGTTCCAAAGACCACCAAAAGGAAACTCTGGGGCTACAGGTTGAAAATTCTTATTTAAACAGATAAAATGAACATGATCTCAGTGGGAGGAATTTCTACAGCTAGTAAATCACAAATATAAGCAGATTATTATATAGAGCATTGAAAGGGGTTGGTAACATTTTCACACTGCTGGAGCTATTATACAATATCACCATGGTATGTGGATCGCCCCAAATTATCCAGATCTCATGAGAGATCACTCAAATTGCAAGATTTGACATTATTTTAACAGATCACCAACATATTATACAAGACTGTCAACCCTGTCAAGATTTCTGCACTCATAAATGAGATTTCAGTGATACTGCCAATTTTGGAGTGGAGGGGGTAGCACTTGAGGATCTGATAAAGGTTCTCTTGCCAATGGGGATTGTGTTATTGATTATTATCATAGTGGAAGGAACCAATATGTGTGATTCCCCTCAACATTGTTGCTATTTTTTAATTCTATTATCAGCGATCAAAAATAGTTTAGTTTCCAAGTTTGTGGATGACCCCAAATTACTTAGTCTAATTAGAAAAAGGTCTAGAAAGAACAAGCCATGTTAGGTATATGAACAACTCAGTGGCGTATGAAATTCAACATAAATATATTCAAATAGCCTGCATCCAATAAAGGTGAAAATTGTTTTACTATTTAAGCTACTATTGACTGGTTCAAAGTGTTTCAGTGGGTTTAATACTTTAGTTAAATGTTTATTTGTGAATCTAGGAAAAAAATGGCATTAGATTGTGGATTCTTAATTCAGTTGAGTATAATGAAGCAGGAAGAATGTCTTACAGTTGTGGGATCCAAGAAGGAATCACAACCTTGCAAGGAGTGAAACTAAATATCCCTAACAATCAGAAAAATTCCAGTTAAACAATTCCTACTTAGCTGATAACCCATTCCTAAAGCATTATGTAATTTCAATCTAATGCTCCAAAGAATGTGTCTATATGGGGTGTTTTTAATTCATACATAAACAAACGTATCTCTTACTGTCAAAGAGATATGTGTCTGTATTATGTCTGTATTGTGCCACTTGACCACATAGATGAGATGTCCTCTAAGTGCGATTGAGAAAGCATGTAGCATTTAAGCAGGTGTAAGGGAGTTTATTCCCATGGTTTCACTGCCAGCCCTATTTTTTCCAACTGCCCGTGTCAGATTGCATATTTCAGAAAGAATTGCCAGCATCTTCTTATAAAAGCAACTTCAGAATCAGTTCTAATAATATATTAGGTTTCTAATATATTATTTGTGGTGCATGTTTTTCAGGAGCCTAAGCTGTCAAAGGATCACACTGCACAAGAACCTCTTTTTTTCTTATGTTCTTAACTCTGTGTTTACACTCGCACATCTCATTGCAGTAGTGCCCGATCGAGACCTGGTCAAAAAAGATCCAGTAAGTATTTGGTTTTGCTTCACCTTGAGTAAATGAATTTAAACATTAAAAGTTAAAAGACCTTACTGCCTTATTGCCACAGCAACTTCACATAAAGGAAGTTATCACCTATTCTGAAAGAAATTCAGTGTTGCAAGAACATGGATTTGCCCCTGAAAAAAGTAGCCTCAAATCAAGTTTATTTTTTCCCAACTAGATCTTGATACTAAGACAGAAATTCTAAACTTCATAAATACTAAACCAGGAACTCTGGCTTAATAAATCATAGTGACGATGTGCAACATACTACTGCATGCAATCCATGTTCCTACTTCACTCTTTGCTTAGTTTTGTGTTATATCCATATTAAGAATTATGATTTACTGCACTCCACATCTAACCAGATATGGTAGAGCCATATCTTTATTAGATATTTTATTTTTATAGCCAGTTTGGTGTAGTGCTTAAGGCATCAGGCTAGAAACTCGGAGACTATGAGTTCTAGTCCTGCCTTAGGCATCAAAGCCAACTGGGTGACCTTGGGCCAGTCACTGTCTCTCAGTCCTAGGAAGCAGGCAATGGCAAACCACTTCTGAAAAACCTTGCCAAGAAAACTTCAGGGACTTGTCCAGGCAGTCTCTGAGAATCAGACATGATTGAACAGATTAAAAAAAAAATCTAACCCAGGACTGATCTTCATTTGCTGACTTGTTTGAACACAATAAGCCATAATCTTTAATTTGAAGACAACAAGAGCTATTTCCTTCCTCCTTTGTATAATTGCTCACACAAGGAATTTAGGGTAGAAAACACAGCATGCAGCAACATGTTGGTTGTTCAGATAATTGCTTATTAAGCTGGGATTCTTGGCTTAAAATTATATGTAAACACAGCCTCACTATGGAATGTGTTTCCACTCCATTATGATGAAAATGGTGATTGGCTTTGGGACACATTGGGCTGGAGAAGTTAGTTCTTGTTTTTGGAGTTTGATTTATATCTTTTCTTGAATACAGATCCATGCTCAATAGGAACCCCTAAAGGCTGGGTTCAGTTAAGCCAGAATGAGACTGGTTTGGTTTTGGCTTAATGTTATGGAATAAACAATTTGTTTTAGGATAGTAAACCATACTTTGAAACCATAGTCTATGGTTATCTTACTTTTTGCTTTTGTGTCTTAGTATAAAGTATGTATAGTTCTTGCTTTGTTTTTGATCTGCATCCAAGTTTCTGAATAATCCACAGAAGTACAATATAAGAACAACTAAAAAGGATGATAAAGAAACCCAGAATTGGTTAAAGAAGCCATTATTTATTTTATCTGCAAGATTCTGGTTGATTTAACAAACCAAAGTTCAAGAATCAATGGTTTAGTATGATTGTGAACACAGTGAAATAGCTATTTCAAATACTATTTTACTATTCATATACCTGAAGCTTATGTGAGAAAATAGCATCAATAAATCAAATACTAGATCCAGAACTTTATAATCTTAGTTGTCTTATGAGATTAAATGTAGGAAAGGAACCATAACTGGATGTGGAGTGCATTCTTGCACACACATGGGCCCAGGTTCAAACTTTAGCATCTTTAGTTAAAGGTTGCAGGTAATATACAATATGAAATGCCTGTTTTCTGCCCGGAGAGATGCTAGATTGACTGGTTTTTGACTTGAGATAAGGTATCTTGCTCTGTTCCTCAAATCTCTAGCTACTTCCTAAACTCAAACTAGAGAGCCAGTGATAGAGGATGATCCAAGTATATATCCACTTTCAACCATAAAAGCTCACTAGTTGATTTCAAGTGAATCATTACCTCTCAGCCCAGCCTTTGTTTCCTCCAAAAAATTGGAGGAATTTTTTTGGTGAGGTGGGGGGGAGTTGAAAGAGGGTATGCTAATTAAATGATCCACAGCACTGCATCTCTCCACTGGAATTGGCTTGATCATCTTGATTCTACCAGTAGCTGGTTGTCTCCCAATTTCAGGGGGTCAGAGGAGCCAAAGTTGGAGGCACTATTTTTCTGTAATTGGCTGGCTCACTGGAATAGCATCCCATGGGATTTTTGATTGGCCCCAGTGTCAGTCGCCTTGCAGAAGCCGCTGAAAATGGAGCTTTTTCAAAAGACTTTTGGAGGTTGACACCAGATACTGTTTTAGGTTGTAAGTTTTTGTATTTCTTATTTTTATGACTGTGTATTGCTTGTCTCATATTGTGAGATGCCGAGAGTCTATTTATGATTGGAGTAGGATATAAATTCAGTCAATCAATCTGCCTCCTTCAGTTCCTGGAGAAAAAGCAGGAAATAAATTTAACAAATAAATATACGCTGCCAGACTTTTCCTGTAAAAATTCCCTATCATTATTTGGAGGCTCTTCTTTTCAGTTAACCTTTAAAGAAAACAGCATGAAAAGGGTACTTAGTTTGTTTATATTTACATGAAAATTTGTGTTAGAAATTACATGCAAACATTTATGGTAAATGGAGTTAAAAGAAAGGGTACTTAGTTTGTTTATATTTACATGAAAATTTGTGTTAGAAATTACATGCAAACATTTATGGTAAATGGAGTTAAAAGAAAGGGTACTTAGTTTGTTTATATTTACATGAAAATTTGTGTTAGAAATTACATGCAAACATTTATGGTAAATGGAGTTAAAAGTACAATTAATAACTTACTATAATTCAAGTCAGAGATTTTTATATAAATATCTGAGAATGGTTGCCGGATGAGAAGGACAGAGATAAAGAGGACTTACTGTATGATTTATAGAATAAAAGTAAAAATGACTTTTTTGTATTACAGTATTGCAGCCAAAGAAATATATATTGAAGCTTCCGCCCCCCCCCCCAATGGTTCCAACTAATGCTGTTTTCAGCTGGATTTGTTTACTGGTTGCAAATAAGGATGAGCAATGAATCAGATACGTGTTCACATTTTTCAAGCAAAATTCAGGAGTACAGTTTTATTATTTTGTTTCTTTCTTACTATTCTCTCACAAATGTCATTGCGTGTGTTTGCATGATCATATACAGTAGATGTGCCTATGGTATGGTAAGAACCTATGAAAAATAAGCTGGAGGACTCAGCTTGATCTGTCTTTAGTTTGTATTATTGAACAGATTTGGGATATCTGTTCTTTTTTCTAGTCATAGCTAAAGCTGAGTATCTTAAAGATAGTTCATTGTAGTTTCTAAAGTGTAATACCTGTGCAGGCAATTCAAGCACCTGAATAATTTAGATAGTTTTCATTTTCAGGACTAAGATGTGTGGCCTAGGTCTCCTGAAAAATATTAGGTGCATATATCTGTCAGGACATGGACATATCCAGACTTTCTCCAATGAAAGGTAGAATGTCATCATTAAGTCTTATCAGATCAAACAGATTAAGTTGGTTCCAACTAATGCTGTTTTCAGCTGGATTTGTTTAGGGACTGGTTGCAAATAGGGATGAGCAATGGATCAGATTCCTTCCGTTTGTGATTTATCCATCCTGAAGTTAATTACATTCTAGTTTGGGTAAGTTTACATTACATTTTAATATTCGGTTAAAACGGTACACAGTTGGCATAGATGATGACAGAAGAAGCTTTCTATGTACTTCTGTTCAGAAATAATGTTTGTGATTATGTAAGATGCTGTTTATTGAAATGGGCAAATGGGATGAATATGAAATGATGTGTATGTTGGCGGCAGTCCTGTGTAGACTTGTAAAATGTGCATGTGAAGTCTATGTAATATTTAGAAATTGGAAAAAAGGGAGAAAACTGTTCTTGGCTGCATGGCATATAAGTTAACCACATCTAAATGTAAACTTTCTCAAAACTAGAAATAATATTTTGCTTTAGCTTTTTATTTATTTTATAAAAACAGTTTCAAAATCATGATAATAAACCATTAATATTTAAATTCTCTACTTATGCTTATCTCTCAAAATTAATATAATACCAGTTAGCTGTTTTCTCTTTTACCTGTTATCCTAAGTTCTATTTGTATTGTTTAGATCAGTGTCTTCTTCTTTGTACATTATATGTGTCTACAATTGGTACTTGCGACTCACTCCCCTTCTCTTTATGTCTGCCTGGTACAACTTGTGAAATAATGTGAACCTGTATGAATTATAGGTATAGAATTTCAATACCCAGAATTGGTGAATTCTGCAAAATCCTCCCTGAGGATTTATGGCAACTGCAGGAGAGAACTCAGTCTGTAATCATACCTCATTGGGTTTCACCCAAATTATTTACCTCTATCAGAAGTGCTTTTTTTTTCTGGGCTAAAAATGTGTTCTTTCAATAGCATGCCATAAATAGTGGTATGAGTGGACAAAAACTAAATCTGATTTCATTTCATTGAGTCATATATTTATTAATCTTCCACTTATGTTACATTAACAATCCCAATTTGGTAATAGGTTCGAGATTATTCTAACTCAAGACTTTTGGGGCCCACAGAAGGGTTTGAGACCTCAGTTGTGCATCTCTTGTCACTTTCATATGTTGGTTCTTCTAAAAGCCAGAGTAATGAGGAAATTGATGCAATTGCCCTTAAAATATACAACAGAGAATCAATGGCTCTTATTTGGTTGTTCAAGATTTTTTTTAAAATGAAATATTTGGCCTAATAATAAATAAGCTGCTGGATATAATCTATGGAAGGAGGAGGAGGAGGAGGAGGAAGAGATGCAATCACTTCAGTTATGGTTTGAAATCAAAGCCTCCACTGAGTCAGAACTGATCTATTAGCTCAGGAATACCAAACACCTTGTTTTGAAAAATTTCTTGTTGTGACAGCATCTGTCAAGAGTCAAATAAGTGAGCATAAGAGGGCTTTTACTCTCATCTTTTTTTGTATGTGGAGCTTAATTTCTTTTCTAGGGCAATCATTTTCTTTGCTCCTACGCCTCCCCATAAAATAATCCCCATGGGTAGGCAATTGCCATCAGAGAAGGAACTTGATTTCAGATTTCCTATTAGAAATATAATGCAGTATTATTTCATTAGAACCTTGCCATCATTT